TTTAAATTCTTTCTTTTCTCTTTTTAACAGCGAAGAATGAATTTCTTACTCTTGAGCATACAACTTGTCATGCATAAATGTTTCTTTCTGGAGCCAAATTCCAATATTTTAAAGCATTTGGCTTTGTGATTTCTTTATAGTCCTCGCAAACGCAGCACGAACGAGAAACTGGATTCTTGCATATATAAAAATTTGAAAAAAAACTTTCAAAACACAATATTACATTTTTATTAAATAAATATTTGTTATTTTAATCACTGAATTGTTTTTAAAATAGAGGAAGTAATTTGTATGTTAAATAAGAAAACTTAATTTAGAAAAAAAAATTCATGAAAATTTATTGTACTAACATACGCATCCTAATAAAACCAACTGTGCTTTGTACCTCCTTACATGTTTTTACTTCTCCTTGAAATTTAGTTTAGCGTTTTTAGAGGGTGTGACGGATGGACTACCAGAAGTCAAATAATATTATATGTAAATTTTACATCATTATTGTGCAACTTTCACAACACACGTGTGTATATATATATATATATATATATATAAGGAAGAGGTTATAGTTGTTCCAACGAGAGAACAGTGTATATTTTAAAACGATAAACCGCAAGTGTTTTTGGTTGAAATGTGAATTTATATTTTAAAATATGTTATACTTTATTTTCCATAATTCTTCTACACTTTTTTCTGGTTTCGCAACCTTTTTAAAGAAAGACATTAAAGACACTACCACGCAAAAAAATTAATTTTTATAATATGTTGAAATATCTATTCTTTGTTTGAAGACTTAAGTTGTTAAATCGGAAAGATCGAGGAGCAACTATGCAGAGACGACATCACAAATTTTGACCATCGAGTGGAGGTGTACCGCCGAAGACTTGGCAGACACTTCGGCGATATTATTTTCCCCACATAATCGCCATGACTTAAATAACATGATCCAATAGAGAAATGAATAAATTTTCAACAATAATATAGATTTATTTACTGCAGACTTGGATCCGTCTTAATAAATATATATATATATATATATATATATATATATATATATATATATATATATATATATATATATATAAAATAATAATTCATCTCTTAGAACAAAATTAAATAAAACAAATATTATTTACGAATTTAAATGTCAATTAAGGAATTTTATTCCTGATCAATCAAAATTCGTAAACAATTATATAGGCCATACTACAATATGCTTAACAAGAAAACTCACGCTACATATTTCTGAGCATAGCTCAATTAGGTCTCATTTAAATACTCATGGAAACCTACTGGTCCCTATTCGTAACATACTTGTTGATAACACAGATATAATAGCATCGTCTACATGTAAAAGGCAAAAATTAATGGAAACGTTATTAAAAAAAAACCCCAAAAACAACACTCAATAATATCAACTATGAACATGGACAGAATATCATGACCGTGTTTTGAAAATGAAACCTTATATAAATACATACATACAACAATCTATTTCTTGTTAACAGCTAATACATTTCAACCATGAAAGTGGCTCAATGTATAGCTGAAAGCGCTCAGAAAAAAAATATTTGGACAGTTTTTATATAATTTTTCTACTGAAAAGAAAAAAATTATAAGATCACATGAGAAATTATATAAAAAACTTAATCAAATCACTTTGTCTGTCATATTTAATCAAACTTGCATGAAAAAGAAGGATTGCTGCCTAAATACACTATATATATATATATATATATATATATATATATATATATATATATATATATAATAATAGTCGCTTGGAGATCGCGAGACCATGAAACATTATTACTATTAACAAAGCTGTGAAAAAATCGACAATATTTTTTTATATGGCTCCATTCTGCCAACTGAGGATTTTACAAGTTTCATGAAACTGTCAGTAGCGGAAGGTTATCACCTACATTGTTGCTTTTTGCCTGGGAGTTTTAAAACAAATGGACACTAGCGGAGAGGTACGAGTCTGAATAATTTATTATTATTATTGTTTCATTTCCTTTGATTTCAGATGTATACTCATTTCTTTCCAGGTCCCGACGAGAGACCTAAGGTCAGAAATGACATCATACCATTTTCTGCTGAACAATTAATTAAAAAAAAATCATATATTTAACACAGTTAAAGCCCTTTGTAAGGTGTGGGCTGTACTTGCGAGAACAATTTTCTTGTATCTTTTAAAGCATGGGCTACCAGGGATTCCTTCATTGAGTCTATTAGAATCTTTTCCAATCAATCCGAGGGCTCCAACTACAACTGGAATTGTTAATGTCCTCATACACCATATTTTTGAGATTTCAATTTCAATGTCATTGTATTTTGATAGTTTTTTGAATATCTTCAAAGATACATTACAGTCTGCAGGGACTGCCATGTCAATATTTTTTGTTTGCGGTCTCTAATAACCATGCCAGGGCAATTAGATTTGATTCTTCTATCCGTGCGTATTATGAAGCCTCATCAAATTGTGACAGGTCCTATTTCCGTAACCGGCTCTGGATGGTGTCCATGCCAATTTATTATTATTATTATTATTATTATTTATATATTAAAACGCTTGTGTGCTGTATCACAGATACAGAGAGGGGACAGAAAGAGAGAGAAACATATAAAATATAAAGAAAAAGAAAGCCGTAAAAAATTAAAAAAAAGAACAACCAAAAAGGAACAGCGAGAGGAGTTGAAAGGCATCATCTTAGATAAAACAAGTAGTAAGGGGTTAATGCTTCATGACCTTCCGACCAGTTCAGGACATTTTGGTGTTTTTAGGAGAGACAGTCACTGTTCTCATAGCTACCTCGGAATACGGATGGGTTGAAAAGTATAGAGTGCAAAATTAAAAGAATTACTATTACGTCCGTGGAATTTCGTCGGGTCCTGATGGTTATTATTATTTTAGCTTTTAGCCCCTCTGTATTTTGCTTTACATAGTTTTCCCTTATAATCATTATTTATTTTATCATTTCTCCCGATGCTTATAGTTTATTATAGTTTATTGCTATCAAGTGTAAACTTGTGAAGGAATATGTTTTTTCTAACTATACCTGACCACTGACAATCCCTTTCTTCCAGATTTTCTCAATGTTTCCCTATAGTAAAATCATTAGCAATTCATTTACATTATACATATAATAGCCCTATTCTATCAGTAATGCTTGCCTTCATCCCAGACAAACTGATAATCCCTTTCTTCCTGATTTTCAATGAATTTCTATAGTAAATTCATTAGCAATGCATTTCCATTATACATATAATAGTCCTATTCTATCAGTAATGCTTCCCTTCATTCCTGACCACTGACAATCCCGTTCTTCCTGATTTCAATGAATTCTATAGTAAAATCATTAGCAATGCATTTCCATTGTACATATAATAGCCCTATTCTATCAGTAATGCTTTCATTCCTGACCACTGACAATCCTTTTCTTCCTGATTTTCAATGCTTCCCTATAGTAAAATCATTAGCAATGCATTTCCATTATACATATATAGCCCTATTCTATCAGTAATGCTTGCCTTCATTCCTGACCACTAACAATTTCCTTTCCTGATTTTCAATGCTTCCCTATAGTAAAATCATTAGCAATGCATTTCCATTGTACATATAATAGCCCTATTCTATCAGTAATGCTTGCCTTCATTCCTGACCACTAACAATCCCTTTCTTCCTGATTTTCAATGCTTCCCTATAGTAAAATCATTAGCAATGCATTTCCATTGTACATATAATAGCCCTATTCTATCAGTAATCTTGCAATTCCTGACCACTAACAATTCCCTGATTTTCAATGCTTCCCTATAGTAAAATCATTAGCAATGCATTTCCATTGTACATATATTAGTCTATTCTATCAGTAATGCTTGCATTCATTCCTGACCACTAACAATTCCTTTCTTCCTGATTTTCAATGCTTCCCTATAGTAAAATCATTAGCAATGCATTTCCATTGTACATATAATAGCCCTATTCTATCAGTAATGCTTGCCTTCATTCCTGACCACTAACAATTCCTTTCTTCCTGATTTTCAATGCTTCCCTATAGTAAAATCATTAGCAATGCATTTCCATTATACATATAATAGCCCCTATTCTATCAGTAATGCTTGGCCTTCATTCCTGACCACTAACAATTCCTTTTCTTCCTGATTTTCAATGCTTCCCTATAGTAAAATCATTAGCAATGCATTTCCATTATACATATAATAGCCCTATTCTGCATAAAAAAACTCATCAAATGTATAGATGCCGACAACAAACACCATATGTTGAGCGCCAAATATCAGTTTCCGACATAACTTTCCTCCTGTTTATCAGAAAACAATGATCTAGACCTATATTCCTATATCTTTTTGGGGGTGCTGAATCTATTTTGCAATGAAAATCCCCCAAAAGACTTTTAAATGAGTTAAATGCAAAATTTACGGGAAATGTATCTCTTCACGACAGAACAGAGTTTCGAGAACAAAACTAGTATTTTTTGTTGTTGTTGTTTTAATTTTTTTCTCAATTATATACAACATTAATACAGTTCTCTAATTGATTTGAAAATTATTCAGCGGACATTTGCAGTGGCTATGATCGCGAGCCTATTTTGATAAGGAGCCAGACCTTGATACTCTGCAGAACTCACAGCTATTATAATTTCTAAACAGAAATACTAATCTATTCGATTAAACAGATTATTTTTTACAGGCACTATGCTAATATTAAAATAAAAGCTTGCAAAAATGCCACTTGATAATAATCAGCTCAGACGCATGCGCACATTCGAATCATATATATATATATATATATATATATAAAGAAAGCTACATAGAAATGTCCATATCGCCAGCAACGACATGCATTTATAAAATGCATAATGGCTTCATGCAACGATAGGAAATTGTAACGGTGGATAGAAGCAAATGGAAGAGGAAAGGGGGTCAAAAGAGAAATGCAAGGAAAGGAAAAAGGATCTAAGAGAGTGGGTGTCCTCATCAGAGACCTGCATTTTCGGCCTGCCCACTTGTTTGTGAGTTGCGAGTAAATGCAACAGGCTCGCCCGGTGGCCCAGTTGTTGGCCCTTCCCCCATCGGCACTTCTAATTCCACCCCGTTTCGTTTCTCGTCAGCCTGCACCACCGAACCAGACCAGTCCCCCCTCCCCAAAGGGTCTGACTGAATGACAACGGCAGAGATGTTAGTAGTCAGCCATGGGCGAGGCATAGGGGCTGGGGGGAAGTGGGCCAGTGGAACGGAGAAGGGGGTTTGTAGGACTGGAAAATGGAATGAAGGCTTAAGGGACAGGAGTGTGAAGTGAAATATGGAGTGGGGGAGGGAGAGAAAAGGGAACGGAATAGAGAAAATAGGATGAGGAAAGAAAAAGGGGACATTTAGAAGGCGAATAGGGGTTTGAATTTGGGTAAGGGCTTTTGAGATTTCAAGAGTGGAGAATGCAATGGCAGGCAGAGGAAACAGTATGGGGACGGTAATAGTTAGAGGACTGGGTGTGGTGGGGGAGATCAAGAAAGGTTGGAACAGTTGAGTGGGGGAGCAGAAAAATAGCTGAAGGAAGAGAAGCAGAAACTAACTGGACATCAATCAGTGTGTTAAAGGGCCTTCCATACAGAAGGCGCCCTTCTCCTCTACACAGCTTATTGCAGGTTCTCTCTTCTGCAAGGGATAATGAAGAGTGGTAGTAGCTGCTCGTGGTGACGGGTGGGGGTGGTGGGACAGAAAGTCTGGATCAATTCAGAATCCCTTTTCTGAGGAATAAATATCTACTGCCTGTTATGAGTCATAGGCGGTAGGGCGGAGGGGGGGTAGCAAGGACTGGGAAGGCAGGAGTAAAAATGGCGAAAAAAGTTTTCGGGGGAGGGCTAGGGTTGAGGAGAAACGGGAATTAATGGTCAACTCTGAATAAGGGAAGGATTATAAAGAAAACTAAAATTCTACGACACATCGTTATTAATGTGGGTCATTGCAACTAAAAGAAGCGTTACCAAGAAAAAAATTATATACAGAAGAAATCTGTCAGTAAGGTTTGAACTAATTAGAATTTTGTTCCTTATTTTCAATACATTTATCAGCTAAATATGCTTGCCTACATTCCTGACCACTGACAATCCCTTTCTTCCTGATTTTCAATGCATTCCTATAGTAAAATAATTAACAATGCATTTCCATTATACATATAATAGCCCTATTCTATCAGTAATGCTTGCCTTTTCATCCCAGTCCACTTATAGAATCCCTTTCTTCAGTGATTTTCAATGAATTCCTTCCTAGTAAAATAATTAACAATGCATTTCCATTATACATATATAGCCCTATATTCTATCAGTAAAATGCTTGCCTTCATTCCTGACCACTTCCGACAATCCCTTTCTTCCCGATTTTCAATGCATTCCTATAGTAAAATCCTTAGCAATGCATTTCCATTATACATATAATAGCCCTATTCTATCAGTAATGCTTGTCTTCATTCCTGACCACTGACAGTCCCTTTCTTCCTAATTTTTATATGAACTCTTTCTTTTATTTTTCTTCAATATAAATTATAAAATTAATGCTTTCCGATATCAGGCAAACGTCATACCAACAGTCCTATGGCTAAAGAGAAACTCGGATGAGTTCTACCTACGGAATTTGTGATCGAGCGGCGCTATATCGAGTCTAATTCGCTACCTCTTCGTCACCGAGGCCCCTTGGTACAGTTGGTATAATGTTTGCTTGATATAGTATCTCTCCTGGTTTCAATTCTCGGTAGTGGATGGGCACTGCTGAGGAATCCCAAATATAGGACGAAACGACCGTCCAGTGCTTTCTGCGTTCTGTTGAGGTTTATTCTAGACTCGATGAAATACTTAATTATCTCAATCACTTATTTATATCTGACTAGCAGCATGGCCCGGCGTTGCACGTGCTTGATTCAAAAATCGTACGGCTCATACAGCAATCGCTATCACTTGGCTTAAAATATTTTTGCCCTTCCTTGCCTTTAAAGGAGTGCCCTTTTCCGTGCTGGTGTTGCTACATGTCTTACTTCTTGCCTATCTCACACTGCGAATTTTTTCTAAGCTCTATACTAAACATTAAATCTGTTACGAAAAAAGAACTAAACAAAATGAACACAAAACGATCAGCTTTAAAAAAGGACTCGTAACTGGAAAAACCGAATGAAAAAAGAATGTTAACAACAAATACTTTTTCACACTTAACCTAGTTCTGCGGAATCAGAATGAACGTTGAGTTTAAGCAAGCGAATGAGCCAATTGGAGTAAAGTGCCATGTAGATTTAAATTTTCCCCACTTGTGACGAATGCAGCTATCGATTTTTTTGCATGCTAGTTAACATTCGTGTCAGTCAGCTGTTGGCTCTCACGCTGACCAATAGAATCTTCCTGCCTATTCGTGCCAGCCAGCTATAGACTCTCACTCTGGCCAGTAGAAAATGGCCGCAAACTACATGAAAACTGCCGTAGAAGCATGAAAAAATCGATTATTTCTACTATCGATGGAAGTTGGGAAATGCAACGTCGGTCTTGACCTTCCCGCTAACTTGGAGCATGTGCATGTAAATTTTGGTGCAAATCCGTCGAAAATTGTGGCCGTGCATTCGTTACACACACACACTGCCTTTTATTGATAGAGATTTATTTTTATTCATATCCACGTTGTGAAACGCGTGTTATTTTAATGAGGCCCACTTTATTTTGACCCGATCCGGACATGGACCTATACGAAAAACATTTTGCCCACACCAGATATAAAATGTCGTTTTTTGGTGCTGTCAAGATACCGGATAAAGTTAGAACCGTTGTAATGTTATGTATGACGAGCTCGTTAACCATTACCCCGCATTCAGTTATACCCTTAATGTTAGTCATACATTCAAGGGTATAAATGTAAGTTACCAATGAGAATCGAAATCATAAACATAAAAGTCATGTTTTGCAAGACTAACTCATTAACCATTACCCCACGTCGAGTAATGAATATATTAAATATTAAAGTGATTTCGTGTATATTTGTGAGCAATGCTCGCAAAATCTAAGTAAAAAGCAAATAAAAGTTCAAATAATTTACACAATGACAATAATTTTACTGACCTGACCTTCACATTAATTCGTTTTTGTAAACATGAACCTAAGACAATGGAGTGTCAAAATAACGGTTCTTCCCTTGACAATGCTATTATTTTAACTACCTCCACTCCTCGTCAATGTTTGTTTTAAAAAGAGATTATTAGAATTGAAATAAAACCTAAACATATGATGAAAGTGAATTTATACATGTATAATTCATCTACCTTCACTCTTCGGCAATGTATATTGTTTTAAAAAGCAATGATTAGAATTGGAATAAAACCTAAACGTATGATGAAAGTGAATTTATAGATTTTCTTTGTTCTTGAGTATTGACAAAATAATAAACACTGTATATTACATTGTTTATCTACACTATTGGAGTGGTTGGTAAAACACGAGCCAATTACCAACTGATTTGAAACAAAATTACCTGCGCTTATGGGGTGGCCGTCGGACGTAGTGTTTGACGGATTCTAGTTCATCAAAGCGAGCCTGTTCCAGGGCACTGATTTTATTCTCTTTTGTTACCGGAAGGATGCGCATGTCTGCTCTGTTATTTAGGGTCTGCCTTCTCTTCCTTTCAACTATCTTTATTTTTTTGAGAAGGACATTAGGCGAACGGAGTTGTTTTGCGCGCTTATCTCTCTATGATTTGATCCCTGTTTAAAATTTGGACGCGAGACTACGCGGGTTTCGCAACACTTACTGCCGGACCGACTTTGATTACCATCGAGTCGAAGAAATTTTCGACGAACTATACAAAATGGTAAATAATAAGGATTTCTTTAGAATTGGTTCACATATTTTAATAATTTATTTAGTAAATGTTTATAAATCTATAAATAAAAATCTTTTTCATGTTTATTTCTTTATAAATCAGCAAATGATAAATATTGAATTGCATTAGTTTTAATTTAATTAGTTTTTAGAATATTGTAAATATAAAAATATTCTTGAAGATCTAATAAATAAATTTATTTAGTATTTATTATTTTTGTCGTAAATTCTCCAGAACAAAAATATGTATAAATTCACTTTCGTCATATCTATAATTTTTATTACAATAGACATTGCCGAGGGGCGAAGGTAATTAAAACAATAGCAAGTCCTTTTGACACTGCTTCTTTGCGGAGACGAAGGTCCAAATTTGGCCTCATTTTTATGTGGCTAGCCCCTATGTATGTGTAGGGACCAGGGGTAAAAAATTGCCGAGTTCTCTCGTGCACTGTCACGCTGGTGCCTCTAAGATAATGCCTCTAAGATGCAAGGGGCTACTGGGAGTGAAAGAGAATGAGAACACTTTAGAAGGAACCGGAAACCTAATCCTAAAAAAAAGGAAATAATTTATGAAAGTCCACTTCTGTTGAAAACACCATGGAGGAGTGTGAACCGGGCGATAGGCTGTTATGAACTTCGTATAACGCTCAGAGTTGGTAATACAGAGACTGTAAGGAGAAATTGGAATAAAAACGTCGAGTGAAGATGAGTTTAATCACCTCGGAACATGGATTGAGAATACAATGGAAGAAACGCAAGACGGAAAAGTCCATGCCTTTGCGACCCAAATTTTGACACTGGGTGTCCCATGGGTGTAGAGAAGGTTAGACAGTCTTACTACACACCATAGGCTAACCTATCTATATCTACTCTTAGGAAGATGCTGCCACAGGTTATAATCCCTGGGATCAGGCGTCGTCTCCGATCTAAAATTAAGAAAACAGGCACATTGTGGTGTTTCCAGTCTGAAGACAGAGAAAAAAAATGCGGCCCTCCATAAAAGAAAAAAAAAAGAAGAATTCCATTATTTACATTATTCGGACTATTATCCTCATCTTCGTCGCCATATTTATCACAACGTTTCGGCCGTTGTACGCTCCGGCCTTCTTCAGGTGGTTGGAATGTCGAACTGAACCCTTTATTTCGCTCACCGTGGTAGACTGTTCTAGTTCCACGTGCAATGTTTAAATGGATATCAGTTATCAGTTATCTCTTGTCAATTTCCCTCTGAAAGTTCTCCACTGCCTTAACCGGGTCACTCACACTCTTTTGGTCCTGTCACTGGACCTTCTACTTTTATGTACTATGTCTCTTCAGAATGTAGGCGATCATGGCTCTCCACAAAATTTGTACCTTTGCTACTTCCCCAGGCCATGTTCTGTCATCCACTTGCTTAGGCCCGCTTTGGTCCTTGTCATTCGTCTTGGAGTATCCCCTTTTTTCATTACGTGTCCCAGAAATTTCAGCTTACTCTTCCTGATATTAAGTTCCCTTTGTTTACCTTCTCTCCAAAAACATGGCCGTTGCTCCTGATAACATTCCATTATAACTGAGTCGATCTTGAATTTTTGCCTTTTGTACTCTCAATGTCTGTATCAACTTCTGAAGTAATTTCACATTAGACCTCAAGAACTATGCTATACGATTGATGGCTAAACAAAATAGGTACGATAAATAACAAAACTCATTTTATAACCA